GGACTCTCACATGACCAACCGCAGTTCAAGTCCCAGACCTAATGAACTGCTTTCTCGCTTTCCCTCTCTCTGACCAAACTGGAGAATAATACTAACAATAAATAAAGTTAAATAATAAATGTAAAAAATGAACTCAAAATGGATCACAGAGGCCAGTCCTGTGGCCTGGTGGTTACAGGAACCAGATGCCATGATCAACCATGCTGTTTGAACCCTGGCCCTGGCAACTTGAAAAATTCACTGGGGACATGTGTATGCATGCCCCAAATCCCAACACAATGGAGAGATGGAGGGGAATCAACTGTGGCATGGCCATATCCCGTAGACAGTATTCTCACCTCTCTTTCTCTCTCTCTCTCTCCCTCTGTGAGCACACATGCCCTCAGGATCAGCAGGTGTCATGGAGGCAAAGTGCTGGATCCAACATGGACTGCAGCACAGTTCCAGTCTTAGACCCTGGCCTTTAAGATGAGGCCAGTGCATGTGCAAGCATGCCAAAAGAAAGGAAACACATATTCACACAAAAACTTGTACAGGGGCATTATCCATAATAGCCGCAAAGTAAAAACGGCCCACATAGTCATTAACTGGGGGCCAACAGGTAGCGTAGTGTTTAAGGTGCTGAACTCCCACGCGTACGACAGCAATTTGAGTCCCAGACCTGGAGGCCTGAAAAATCACACCAGGCACATGTGTATGCATGCCCAAAATCCCAGGAAAAGAATACAAAAGGCATTGTGGTGTGGCCATCCCCCTTGGGGGGGGGTGATTTCTCACATTCTCTCTCACTGTCTCCGTCTCTGTCTCTCTCCGGCGAGCGCATGTGCCCTATGGTCTCTCACTGTCTCCGTCTCTGTCTCTCTCCGCGAGCGCATGTGCCCTATGGCAAAACTCTTAAAAACATCAATAACTGGTGAAATGATGAACTATACTATTTTTTTCTTTTGTAACTGAGATTTATTGGCTGTGTCAAGCATCAGTACAGACATTCCAATTTGTACCCAGTTCCTAACGTACATACCAAAAGTTTAAAAAGCCAAGTATCGCGATTCTTTGTAAGTTATTCTAGAGACATGCCAGCTTCAAGTTTGTAGGCGTCTTTTAGGATATTGAGAACCACTGTCTTCAGATGTTGAAAGCTGTTACGTAAGTCCACCAGATCACAATGTGGTGTCACACACACTACATGCTCAAACCGCCAATCTTTCACAGCACATTAACAGAGTTATTAGGACAACTGGACCACCACGACCAAAGGTGCCACAGAGTGCACACAGTTCTGACAGGGAGAGCAACAATCAGGGTGGCTTTCTTTAGGAAATAATACTACTAAAAAACATAACAGAAGTCATTTAAAATATTTAAGATGCATGAAATGCATGACTGTGACTCCAAACTGCCATTTCATATGCTTTGTATTTAGGATATAAAAACTACCCACCCGCCCCCACCTATGGAATGTTAAACTGACATGCAAGAGAGTCAAAGCCTCCTATGAGTCAATACCCCACTATTCCCTGGGTGTACTGAAAAACAAACAACCAGTAAATGATTTCACCTCTTAAAAAATACATTTACACTTAAAAGATAGGATGAGATGGGATTCTCTCCTTCTTAAAAGTGTTTCTAGAGCTACTAAAAAAACTTGCATTTACAAAATAGTTGATAAAAATATTCCTCCGGATTGTACAAGAAGGGAGACAGGGACCATTGACAAGACATGGGATATGACATTACTCAGGCTGGTTCTGTCTCGCCTGCTTCCTCAGAGGGTGGACTGTCCTCCTTTTTAGCTTCTCCTCTTTCTGCAGGTAAATCTTTAGTGTCTGGGTTGGCCACTTCAGGCTGTTTCCCCTTCGCTCCCTTTTCCCTTCTGTTTGCACTCTCGTCTGAAGATTCAGCCTTCCCTGCCACCTTTTTAGGCTTCGTCTCCACTTTCGCAGGAGCGGGTTTAGCCGATCTCCTCTTGGGCTCTTCCTTGGCCGCCCCCTGGGCTGAGCTGACCTTCCTCCTGGGCATCTTGGCTGCTGACAGGGTGCATGCTGGGAGCCTGAGAGGCCGCGGCGCGCCCAGAGCCTAAGCGGAGTTGAGCAGATAGACCCTATCGCTCCTCCCGCCGCCAGAGCTACGGGAACTCGATAAGCTATACTATAACCATGCCGCAAAGTGTACAGACACAGGGGCCAGCAGGTGGTTAAGGCCGCTGGACTCCCACATGGGAGACCATGGTTCGAATCCCACGATGACTTGCTTTCTCACTTTCTCTGTCTCTCCATCTCTCTCTCTCTCTCGCTCTGTTCCTCTCTGGTCAAATTTAAATAAGTAAATAAATAAAATAATTCTTAAAAAAATTCAGATACATGCTACAACATGAATAAACTTAAAAAACATTATGCTAAGTGAAACAAGCCAGACACACAATAAACCCACTACACGGTGTGTGATTCCACTCACAGAGACATTCAGAACGGTCAGTTTAAAGCCAGAAAGCGAGTCAGCGCGAGAGAGGGCTGAGAGAGGGCAGGTCGGGACCGGCACAAGCGGGCACGGGAAACTTCGGGCAACTTCTAAAACTGAAGGGGTGATGCTTGCACTCTGCGAGCTCACCAGCAGTCACCAAGTCGCGTTCACCACAGAGGGGCGGTACAGGGCCAGGGGGAGGGCACAGCTCTGGTTAAGGTGGCCGACCGCGTGCTTCAAGTCCTGGACCCAGCGGCTCGAGAAACGGCAGCTGGGCACATGCGGGCATGCCCTAAACCCTGAAAAGAGGAGAGAAATGCAGAAGGGACTGTGGCCTGACCATCCCCGGCAGTGCTTTCTCACTCTCCTTCTGTCTCTGAGAGCTTCTCTCCGCTCCAGGGAGCACGTGCACGTCTTGAAAAGCACTGGCACTCCACGACTCATTCTCCTTGACACGTCCACAGCCACTGTGACTGGGAGACAGCTTTCCCACCAAGTGAGTGGCCTGCGGCGGCCTCTGAACCTCTAAACTCATCTCGAATGCCTCTACCACCCCAGTGCACCCCAGCAAACACGCCGACACACTGCGAAGGCCCTCTCACTCCACCGGGCCTCCCTGAAGGTGGAGGCTCCTGAGGATCGGGGAGGCCAATGGAGCACAGGCCCTGGGACCTCAGGCCCCGTGGAAGGCCAGACCAGGAGCGATGAAGGGAAGGCCCAGCCCAGGTGTCTGCACGGCCCCCGGAAGGATGAGGGCCAGGAAGGGAAAGAACTGCCGGAAAGAGGAGGGGGGCAGGCCCCAGGGACCACAGGGATCACTGCCCCACAGGCTCCATCTGCAACGCCAGTGCCAACAGACTAGCCCTGCTCCATGACGGAGGCTGGACAGGAAGGAGGACGAAGAGTGGTGAGCAATGAATACCTGCCGCAGTGGAGTCGGAAACCGAGCAAGAAACTGTCCCAACGCCCAGGTGACAGGACATCAAGTGTGCGCCAGCCTCAGGGGCAGGAAGTGCCACATTAAACCTTTTGATACTGCCATGCCGCTGCTACCTGCTGTTGGGGCTGAGCCTACCTTCCCTTTTTAAGCAACACAGCAGCTGCCATTGAGCACTGCCCATGTTACAGACGAGGAAGCAACTTGACCAAAGTCACTCAGCCAAAGACAAAAGAGATGAGCCCTCAGAGCTCCAGAGAAAGCCCAGAGCCTCGGGGACCAGCAGTTGGCGTAATGGCTATGTCGCTGGACTCCCACGTGGTCGACCACGGTTTGAGTTCTGGACCCGGTGGCTTAAACTCACGCCAGGTGCATGTGCGTGCATGCCCAAGATCCAGAGAAGAGAATGGAGGAGAAGGGACTGCAGCGTGGCCATCCCTCCTGAGGGGTGATTTCTTGCTTTCTGTCTCTCTGTCTCTCTGGCTGGTGCACACGCCCTATAGCAAAAACCTCTCAAAAAAAGAAAGCCAGCCAGCCAGCCAGCCCGCCAGCCCAGAGACTCACAGAGACCACCCAGGCAGATAGACAGCAGCACGTTCCACCCAACAGGACTCCAGACCCTTCCTGCTGCCCCCAAACTGTGCCAGTTTACCCCCTTTCATCCCAGTAGCTCCCAGACCTTCCTCTTCTGTCCCCTTCCAAAACCAGGACAGAGCAGCTTCTCAGAATGCAGGTCCCTGTCACCATCAGACCCAAGCAAGCCTGGGAAGTTTAACACGCCTCCCTGCTTGTGGGAGCTGGGGTCCTGGATCAGGCTCCAGGTGTCTGGAGAGGCCAGGTGCTGAGACCCAATGTGGATGTCCCCCCCATATTCAAACTCTCATCCTCTCCTCTGTCCTTCCCACTGCTGACCCGAGGCCTGGAGAGTGAGGAGTACTGCTTGGTCTGGGGGGTCAGGGGGCTCCTCCACAGAGTGGAACAAGGTTCCTGGGAGGCCCATGCCTGGTCCTGGTCCCTGCATGCCTGCTCCCGGTTCCAGCAGGTGTCCACTCAGCTGAGGCCTAGGAGTCTCTTCCTGCCTGGTGGCTCAGCCCCCTCGCCTATAGGTCACCCCGGCCACTCTCCCGTGCCCAGCTTGGTGC